TTCAGCACTGTCTCCACAGATTTACCTATCCTGGATTTCATGTACAGAAAAAGAAACAAGCAAACAAACATTAACAAGAATAACAAAGTAAAACCAGTAAAAACCTCAACAGAAAAAAAGAGCAGAAAATATTAAAAACGAGAAGAAATTTATAGACTATAAGGGTGATCAGATAGGGTGCTAAATTTTAACCTAATTTCATGTGTACAAGCTGTAAGAGATATGGTCTTAAGGAGACAGAAGCACTGTAGGCCATGTACTTCTCCAAAATGGTAGCCCCTGCCACCCCCCCATTGCCCAAGGGGTCCTCCAGTGAGGTGCCTCCCCCATGGCAGGCACACCCCACCTACTGTACAAATCTGTTACATCACCCCCCCCACACAGATACACACACAATGCATACCAGCATGTCACAGCCCAGCAAACCTGTATCAGCCCCAACACCTCCCATAGCATGTGGTCCAAAAGCTGCCCTGCTTACTATGTGCAGTTCTGTTAACCACATTCTCCTGCACAGGGGTCTGTGTACATTCATTTTAATGTTAGAAACACATTAAAGACCCCCACACATTTTGTCCTTTCTCCCAGTGGGCACACAGGAAGATTTGTACTTAGAAGAACCTCAATACTGTTACCACACAGAGGCAGTTGGGGACATGAAGAGCCAAGTCACTGCTATTAGAAGAAAGGCCCCAGAGGCTGGCAAGGAGGAAGAGGTCAGTTTTGTGGCCTGGGGAATGTGTCTCCGTGAAAAAAGGGTCCAGGAAGCTACCTAGGTGGGTGAAGTCATGAGTGAGAGAGAAAAAGAAAAATGCCCAGTCACTGCTCCCAGGAAAGTGTTAGACCTCTGGGCATCTTTCCAAAAGAAGCTCAGAAATGCAGGTTTTTTAAAAAGTGACAACTGACTAAAATTAAAAGCTCCTTTAGAAGCATGTTGTACTGGTTTTCAGGACACATTTGGAAGGAAACGGTAAGGAAGAAATTCTCCCTGGGACATTCAGGATGGTTCCATTGCCACCACCCTAGCAAGCTCTCTCTTTTGTGCCACTCAGGTTAGACTGGAAAACCCAGAGTTCCACCCTGGAGTTCCTGCAATCTCACTGGGAAATAAGCAGAGAAAAATTTGTGTCTTTAGATAAGTCCAAAAGTTCTGTGTGAAGACAATCCATTCATTCACTATTGCTAAGACTTTACTGTGTGACACCCTTGCCCAGAAAGCCTCCTAATCCTATTTTCGGGTTCAAGCCCTGATAGCTTCATTCACCTGTAAACGAAAGCAGGTTTCTAGAAGGAACAGGCTGTCTAAGGGACATTAATATTAGAAAAATAAAACCCCCATCTCAGCCTTTTGGCTAAGATTAAGTGTAGAAAAATCAAACACCTTGATGGTATTATGCAATTAATTCCTTTTCTTTAAGTTTGTACTTGTCACAGTGACAAATTCCTGAAGTTATGCTCCTTTTTTGTTAGAAAAATCAAATACGTCAGTATACTAAATGCAGTTTTATAATTATTTTAAGAAGATACCAAATATAAAACATATTTTCAATCTACAAAATATTAAATATTAACCTTGCCATTCCTTTTCCTTCTACTGGCATAAAGAACAGAAATTCATTCAAGTCAATGAATTCAAAATTTCTGAGAATATGAACTTTGATGATGGAGAAACTAGAATTTTGCATTACTACAGGATCTCTAGCCTCTGACTCACCTGTCCTCAGTTCCACTCATCCCTTGTTTTAAGCTTCTCAAGCCACAGCTGCATTACATCAAGCCATACCTCTCATGACTTCTTCTCTGGACCTTCCCTCCTTTTTATCAGTCCACCTCCTGTTTTTGCAACAGCTCCAGCTTCCCAAGCTTTAAGTTCTCAAACAAGCAAGGCTCAAATTCACCCTTCACAAGCCCCACATAATCAAAGAGCATGCCTAGAAACTGCCTCAGGAAGATCACATTTTCAGTAGTCTCTGACCTTAATGCTGCCATAAAAGTTTATAAGATATTTACTGCACTAGTGGTGGGCCCCCCCCCACTATGTTCTGCAAGCAAACAACTAACACAAGCAGCCTTCTTCCTCCTAGATTCATGTTTTAGATGTAAAATTATACTCCTGAAAAGAATTATTTCCATCAACCTTATACCTGGCAGACCTTTACTTGCTATTTCCTAAGTTTGCCTCTTTTGCTTCCTATGTCCACTTCTCCAAAGTACATTCTGTAAACAGTATAAAAGGAACCAAACATTGGAATATATAAAAGCAAGAGAACTCAAGAAAATTGCACTGTCAATAAAGCCACAAGGACCCCTAGTGCTACAGTAGATTAGGTGTTGAGCTACTAACTACAAACTCAGAGTGTTCAAACCCACCAGCAGGTCTGTGGGGGAAAAAATAAAGACTATCTGCTCCTGTAAAGATTTACAATCTCAGAAACTCTAAGGAGAAATTCTACTCTGTCCCATATGGTAACTCTGAGTTGGAACTGACTTGATGGTGGTGGGATAAGCCAGCAATAATCCCATACAAATAAAAAAATTAATTACAACCTGACATTTCTTTTACAAAAGAAAAACATAATGAAGAGAAAACAATGTAGCTATACTTTTTAGTGTTCTTTTCCAAAGAATATTGTACAATTTCTAGATTGTACAGCTTACCAAATATCTCTAAAACAATAGCTTTAATAGATTCAATAATATGGTCAACATTTCCCCCCAACTCAGCCTCAAAATGAGTTCCCCCGCTACACAGTATATTCATGTTTTTTTAAATTCTAACTGAAACAGCTTTGAAATGGGCCAAAAGGGAAGTTAAATGATAGAATATTACATTTTATCCTAACTATCAATGCTCTCTGTCTAATAACAGGGCTATTCACATCCTTCAAATATAATCAGAGGGGATTCACCAAAGGCTTAATCTATACAATTGGATTCATAGCCTTCTGCAAACCGGGTTGTATAACTCTTCTTGATATGATTGAGCTAATGGATTGTATGATATGTGGATTATGTGCCAATAAAAGTTTAAAAATATATATTTAAAATTAAGTTTTTGGCATCTTTGAGGGATTCAAATCACGTTCTTTGAGTTTTATGAAAAAGATGTTGCAAGACATGGGTCAGCGTAAGACATGAAAAAAAATTATAAATTATCAAGGGTTCATGAGGGAGGGAGGATGAGGGTGGGGAGAAAGGAGGTGATACCAAGGTCTCAAGTCGAAAGAAAATGTTTTTTAAATGGCGGTGGCAACACCAGCCTGTGTGATCACAAGATGTCAATGGGATCAGGTATCAGGCATCAAAGAACAAAAAAAATCTTATCATTGTGAATGAGGGGGAATGCAGATTGGGGACCCAAAGCCCATCTGTAGGCAACTGGACATCCCCTTACAGAAGGGTCGCAGGGACGAGAGGAGCCAGCCAGGTTGCTGTGTAGCAACTATGAAACATACAACTTTCCTCTAGTTTTTAAATGCTTCCTCACCCCCCATCCCCCCTTCTATCATGATCCCAATTCTACCTTACAACTCTGACTAGACCAGAGGATGTACAGTGGTACGGATAAGAACTGGAAACACAGGGAATCCAGGACAGATAAACTCCTCAGGACCAATAATGAGAGTAGTGATACCAGGAGGGTAAGGGGAAGGTGGGGTAGAAAGGGGGAACCGATCACAAGGATCTACATATAACCCCTCTGTGGGGAACAGACAA